TTCTTGAATGCCCTCTTCTCAGTTTCAATTTTAAAAATCAGTAGAATATTGGATTGCCTCCTGACATGAAGTAGAACCTGGATCCTGGGATCCCTGGGTGGCGCAGCGGTTTGGCGCCTGCCTTTGGCCCAGGGCGCGATCCCGGAGACCCTGGATCGAATCCCACGTCGGGCTCCCGGTGCATGGAGCCTGCTTCTCCCTCTGCCTGTGTCTCTGCCTCTCTCTCTCTCTCTCTCTGTGACTATCATAAATAAATAAAAATTAAAAAAAAATATTAAAAAAAAAAAAAAAAAAAAAAAAAAAAAAGAACCTGGATCCTAACCAAATATGCCTCGGAGTCACAAAGTGTAAAGTGACTTAACTCGAGCAGACAATTACTTGGTAAACTGAGCAGTATCCTTCACTCACACACATAGCTCCCCACCACTCCCAGAAGCCCGGGAAGAAAGATAAAGCAGAGTGTGGTGGGCACCCCAGCCCTTGGCTGAAATTCACCGTTTACTGCCCTCCAAACCCTCTGGTGTCTGGCTGCACTGTGTCACTCGACCAACCCTCTTTGCTGCCTGTCTCTGTTTTGCTTGAGCCAGCAAAGCCCATCTAAGCCAACTGCTCCCTAGAGCCACTGAGAACTCTTGCTTCATGGCCATGGAGTTAGCACTCTGTTGGCAGAACTTGAGGCATGAATATATTTGAGATTTGGAGAGTCTGTTAATTTGGTTGGATCATGGTACACCTGGGTGACTCAGTTGGTTGGGCATCTGCCTTCAGCTCAGATTGTGATCCCAGTGTCCTGGGTTCAAGCCCTGTGTCAGGCTCTCTGCTTGACAGGGAGCCGTTTCTCCCTCTCCCTCTGCCTGCCCCTGCCCCAGCTTATGTGCTCTCTCTCAGTCAAATGAATGGATAAAATCTTTTTAAAAATATTGTTTGAATCATGTAAGTAAGTAAAAAGCAGGTCAGCAAAAGTACCAATATGATCCTGGAGGATCTTTGTTTTCCTTTCAATGGGATCCCTGCTACCCTGTACCTGTTCCCACTTTCCTGACTCTGAAAAGTAAAGATAAATGGTTCCTTGACTCCTAAATGCCTCCTCATCAAAGGAGGAGCCCAAGTAGGTGAGAAGAATTAGAAACGTCCTCACTCAGATACTGTCCTTTGTCCAGCCTCCTACACAAGGACAAATGGATGTGCAGTGATAAGGTGGGGCTGGAACAATCTACAGCACTTGAGAAGTAGTAAGAGGATCATATACATGCTACCCTTCGCCCTGGGTGTCCTGGGTCCCAGAGGACATGATTCAATTGGCCTAAGAATCACAGCAGCTTTAGAGTACCTTGAAACAGCTCTAAGGCCAGGCCTCTGGGATTCTCTGGGGACCCCTGGGTCATGACAGCTTCCAGTTGCTGTTGCATGGTCCCCGGGCCTTCTAACCTGGGCACAGAGAGTGTCACTGGGAAGTGAGGCCATTTCTTCCAATCCTTCTCTGTGACCATGAAATGGCAACTGGCCTATGAGGGTCTGTGGGAAAGGACTAGACCTGTGTATGAGTTTGAGTATGAAATTTAAAAGTCAACAGGAAAGATGTCCCATCAGAGCAGGTCATGCCTGCTTCTCCTAACCCATAGACCTGACAGCCAGATCCTGCTAAAATAAGGTGTCTGGGGAAGTTTAGGGCCATGTGCTGCTGTTCCATCCCCTAGAAATTTTCTGGTGAAAGTGACCCTAGGTCTGAAGGTTGCAGAATGTTGGAAAGATGCTCATGGTGGGCCTCGCCAGCTGGGGAAGTGGGGAGGCAACACAGGGACTGTGGGTGGGGCTCTGTGGCTCTCTTTTAGCACCGGCCAGGTTGACCTGGTCTTTTCTCCTTCAGGGGATCTTGGGGCCTCAGGCTATCACTTTCCCCTTCTGAGCTCTTCCTCCGTGACTGTTGATTCTGGCCTATGTAGTACAGAGCTATAAATCCACAAATGCTGCAGCATTACACATACATTGTAATGTGTCTGTGTCCATTTAGACCCTCATAACCTGGTTGAGTGTGTGTGTGCCCACGTGCACACGTGTGATTAATGTAGCTCATAGTTGACAATATATGTACATAACAGCTGATGTATGTATATGGGAGTGCAGAATTAGTGCCTGTGGCAGTTTTCTGTATTTTAAACTCATTGATCAAATTAGTTTTATTTTAAGGAAGGGGAAAAAGGAGTGGGAGGGGGGGATTGTAGGCAGAAGGATTCTTAGCAAGATCATTCTTTAAGACTCTTAGTCATGATTTCCCAGTGAGTCTTCATGATGCCCTTTTCAAATAAATGTTAATGTTGTCACCACATGGTTGTGTATTTGATTTCTTTAAAGTAAATGGTTTTTTGAGATGCAAACAGGATCTGAAAATACCAACATTAACTACTGACATTTAGCCACCTCCACTTACCATACTTTACTCACCTAAAAAGGAAGGAGACTAGGGGAAAAGATGCTAACAAGATGTAAACATGAAGCTCAGGATTCCCAGCATGGGAGCATCCTGAGATGGGAAAGCCTGGGCCATTTCTTCATCACAACGACTAGACTCTAGGCCCATAATATAATCCACTGTGGGGGAGACAATAGACTTAAAAATCAGGCTTTCTGATTCCCTTTATATGGGATTTCTGAGGATACATTCCAGTTTTCTTTAATTATGAACTCCTACAGCTTCAATATATTGGGGTCTATGTGCAAGTGCCATATATAGATGTTTCCCAGCTGGATTTGATCTATATCATTCACGGGTATGTCTAATGCAATTGACATATATGTGTGGATCTCTGTGTATATGTAAGTATGAGTTTCTTGTGAATTATAAATGTAGCTGTAAATCTACGGCCCCAGCATTGTACAAACACCATGGGACATATAAAAGAGAAACAGGGGCACCTAGCAGCTCAGTCAGTTATGTGTCCGACTCTTGATCTCAGCTCAGGTCTTGATCTCAGGGTCATGAGTTCAAGCCCAACACTCAGGGTCATGAGTTCAAGCCCATGAGTGCTGCACATGGAGCCTATGTAAAAAAGAAAAAGAAAAAGAAACACAACTCCTGGCCTTTGCCCTTTGGAGCTTAGAATTTCCCTGAAGAGAGTACAAGATATACATGCAGCTAGAAACTGCCATTCCAGCTGGACTGTGTGCCCTCCAGTGCAGAGAATGAAGAGGCTTACCTGGAAGAGATCACAACTTTCCCAGCAGAACTAGAGTCAAGCCTGGGCTCATGTTTTTAAAAGGGTTTCAAAATGGGGGGCGGTGGGGGGTTTCAGGCACGGGTGAAGGAAGAAGGGAAAAGAAGAGTGAGAATACTGGTCGGTGAAAACACGGGAAATGGGGTTTGGTAAGGAGAGTGAAGCTGATGGACGAGGGTCCTGCCATGGCTTGGAATTTGACATTGAAGGAACATTGAGGTGGGGTGACTTTGGCCTCTTGAACCAAGGAATGTGAGGAAAGCAAGATTTCGTATGCATTAATCTGAAGAACTTGTGTATGATGGGTTAGGGAGGAAAGGGACCAGTTGGGGAGACAAGGACACCAGCTGGTTAGGAAGTGGTAGTGAAGGTCAAGGCTAAGCACTGAGTATAATAAAGAGAAAGGTTGCAGCTAGGCAACATGAGGAGGGGTTTGGGTGTAGCAAGAGCAAAAAGAAAACCAGAGACATGAAAGCTTGAGCCTGGGGGACTAGAAGAAGCATCTGTAGGTGAGAACAAGTGTTTGTGAATATTTGTGAGTAGCCTGGGAATGCAGTCAAATCTGAACTGTTACCCATCCTCAGCTGTCACACATTAACCTCTCAGTGATGAAAAGATCACATCTATTTTCTCATTAATCCTCACAATAGTCCTCAAACTAGGAACGGAGGGGTGGATGGATGAGAGAACCAAATCTTGGAGAAGTTTAGAGACTTGCCTAAGGTCACAGAGACAGCTAGAGCCAGGGAGGTAGTGCCACAGCTTCCCACCCCCAAGCCCAGAGGGCCCCCCCAGTAGCAGTAAGCTTCAGCAAATGTCTGGCTGGCCGTTGGACATATTAAAAAGAAAACCACAGGCCCAAAATGGCATCACTTAGGCCAAGTCACCAAACCGGGGGCTCACCTAACTGCAGTTTCAACCTCCCCCAGAAATGTAAATCTAATTCCTCTATCAGGAATTTTCTGACTAGCACCAATCTGGTAATCTGTCACATGGGCCTTTCCCATTTGCCTCCCACCAGCACCCAACATGCAAACACGCACAATGTGTGCAAAGGCAAACATCACCCACTCCCACCCCAAAGATTAGGCAATCAGGGTAAGACACACCCCCCCACCCCCACCCCCCGCTTTTCCTTCTAAGAGAGCCACCTTGCCCTGAACAATCCTTTCATTTGCTAATAACTTTCTTGCCCAGCCCTCCTTCCTATAAAAATCTTCCATCTTGTCTCACTCCTCTGAGCTTCCTTCTACTTGCTAGATGGGATGCTTCTGGACTCTTGAATCACTTAATAAAGCCAATTACATCTTCAGATTTTACCCAGTTGGGTGTTATGCTATATGTTGGCAAATTGAACATAAATAAATAAATAAATAATCGATTAATTAATTAATTTACCCAGGTGAATTTTTGTCCTTTAACAGAGGGGAGCTCCTGCAGCCTTCCCTTTCAGACCCTCGGGGGACAAGGAAGGGCACGTTTTCTGTCCATTCCCAATGTGTCCTATGAATTATACTGCCGCGCGGTCACATGGAAACCAGTCTCTCCAATCAATATATGCTGCTCTTGTTTGGAGGGATGCGGATTTTTATTCACCCAGTGGACATTCAAAGTCAGAGTCAGGTGTGAAACTTTGCAAGGTTTTATTTCCTGACTACAGGCAGCTTTAGGAGGCTGACTACCGGGCTGCCCCCCACGGCCTGGGCGAGGAGCACATCCGGGGCTGGGGGCGGGGGGCAGGAGGGCAGGAGGGCAGGAGGGCAGGAGGCAGCAGGAGGGGGTCCTTCCGCCTTCCGTGGACTTCCTGGGAAGAGAAGCCTCTGGCCCCGCTGCCCGCGCCCTCACTGGCCCTTCTTGTGGGCGTTCTTGATGATGGCGTTTTTGAACAGCGTCACCAGGGGCGTCTGGCTCCTCTCCGAGCTCATGAAGCCGCCGTAGCGCTTGTCCTTGGGCGGGCTGCCCCAGCGGAAGTGCTCCATCTTATAGGGCCCGTCGTCCTTCTTCTCGGCCGCCCCGGCCTCCGCCACCAGGCCGTACTCCAGGTCGGCCAGCGCCGCCACGCCCGCGGCCGGGCCCTCGGGGCCGAGCGCCGGCTCCGGCCGCTGCCCGGCCAGCTCCCTCTTGAACTCGACGGGGAAGGCCTCGGCCGACTCGTCCTCAGCGCCGTTGGGGTACACCTTCACGGGGCGCCGCTTCTTGCCCACCGGCTTGCCCCAGCGGAAGTGCTCCATGGAGTAGGAGCGCTTGCCCTCTTGCAGGCCGAGCTCGCCACCGTCGCCGCGGGGCCCCGGGCCGCCCGCGGGCAGCGGGGCTTGGCCTCCGCCCGCCGCCACCTCCTCTTCCTCGCGCTTCTGGCCCGCGCTGCCATTGCGGCGGCCAAACCGGTCCCAGCGGAAGTGGCCCATGACGTACTTCCGGGGGTTCTCAGCCAGCGGCTGCTCGTCGCCGTTGCCGTTGCCGGGGAGCACGGGCGTCTCGGCCGAGAGGTCGGGCTTGCAGGCCCGGATGCACGCCTGCGGGGAGGGCCGCGAGCCAGAGGGTTAGGGCCGCCGGGCCCTGCGCCCCGCCCCCCACGCCTGCGCGTGCGCCCTGTGCGCCCGCGGCCCTCAGCACGTGCGGGCGGGACCGAGGGCCGCCGAGCACCCGCTCGAGGACCCCGCTCGAGGACGCCTGCCCTCCCCGCCCAGCTGGCGCCCGCGGACGTCTAAGACTCGGCTTGAGCATCACCCCTTTTGTCCCCTGGACCCCTTGGTTCTCCTTCCTGGCAGCTACGACAATCCCCACCCCTCCCCTGCCATCCAGCGGTTTACTTATCCCAGGGCTTTTGCGAGCAGGGTCAGCAGCTTCCCGGAATACCCAGGATGCATAGGAATTGATCAATAAATGGTAAATGGGTGGTAGCTGTTTGCACTCAATCAACACTGAATAAATTGAATAAATAAGTATGGTTCAGTTAGAGTCTGGGAGGGGCATTGGGCTGAAATTTGGGGGAGAGGCTATTCAGGTGGAAGAAATAGAAGTCTGGCCTCTAGAGCCTGTGTTTTCAATAATGCCTCAACCTCACCCCAGTGATCTGCACACCTAACTCATTGGCACACCCCCCGCCATCTCCCTGTACCATGCCTCAAAAATGTTTCCTATGCCATCTGGCACTTTGTTTCTTTCAAGTCTTTTGAGCTGATCCTGTGCTTTTCCCAGTCAGTGAGCTTTGGGAGGGAGCAGTTCACTTCCCTGTTACCTCATTCTGACTGGAGGGAAGGGTAAACAGCCACGATTATTTCCATTGCTTCAGTCACGGGGCCTATGTCTCTGCTTTCTGTAAGCAGACAACTCCACTATGGTACACATTTGCCTGGAGAAATGACCTATAGGCTGCAACCTTGAGTTTTTAGTTACGTGGGACTGCAAAGGAGGAAACAGAAGGATCCCATCCACTCTGTTGAGTTGGGAATTTCATACTCCAGGGATTTAGAATCATGACACTGCAGAATATTAACAGTGGAAAGTGAAAACTATCTCATACTCCTCTCCCCTGGACACATAACAGGGGGCTCAGAGAGGCGAAGTTTCACAACTCTTTGGTGGGAGAGAAGGGGCTAGAACCCATGGGCTCTGACCGTGGCCACTGCTCCTTCCCTAGTGGACTCTCAACAGGAGAGGCTATGCAGTGGGTGTCTCTAATCAAAAGTCTCTTGCGTCTCTCTCTGAACTGGAATGGACATAACTCCCTGGGCTTTTTCTTTCTGTTTTATATTGTACATGACCCCTGCTCCATGTTTTTAAATTCTCTCTCTTCACCTTAACTGAAGCACACAAATGTAATGACGTGCATTCCACCCTCACCAGGCAGATGCTGGCAGCAGGATGGAACTCAGTCACTGATACTGGCAGTGTGTCTTTGCGTCCTTAACCTGGTGTAATTTTTCATTTAGAGCTCCCAATACACACACACACACACACACACACACACACACACAAAATTCCAGCCTGGCACAAAGGGTCTTTACATGCTTCTGGAAAGGCTTCAAAAGATCAGTCTTCCAGAAGAAGCATGAGACATTTGGGACCAGTTAGAGGAAAATGGCACCTGGGTTTTTCCTTCTCCTTGTACAGAATTCTAGGGAATGAAAATGTCAAGTGATACAAAGTTATTTGAAAGGGAATAAAATGCTAAAGGATTGAAAATGTAGAATCAATAGAGGGAACAATTATTATTACTGTTACTATCATTATTATCTTAATGGCAATATCTCTAAATAGCTTAAAGGGAGTGGGTCTTCATACAAGAAGACAGGGTAGGAAGATAATCAAGTAGAAATTGTGGACGAGACTCATCTCCCCGAAGCTTCTCTCTCTCCTTAGCTCAATTCTGACTTCACCCTAGAGATCTGTTCCTACCCTGCGCTGAGTTACCAGATCTCTGGAAATGAATTTCCTCTTCCCTGCACCCCTTTCTTTTGTGCTGTCCCAGTCCCAGCCCCAGTCCCAGCCAGTGCCCAAATCCAGATGGCGGCCAGAGCCCACATACCAGCAGGTTACTTTCCGTGGTGAGGTCCTGACACTGGCTGCTCTCCAGGCACCAGCCACTCACTTCCACAGAGGCCTGAAGCAGCAAGGCCAGCAGCAGGGCCCCTGGGCGGCTGTAGCATGATCTCGGCATCTTCCAGGCAGGCTGAGGCTCTGCAGAGGCAAACAAGATTGGTGGGACCCCTGCGAGGAGCAGAACAATGTTGGCCACTGACCAGGAAGGACTGTGAGCCAATATTAACAACACACTCACTTGTGGAGCTCGAGGCTTTTTGAGGACAGGGGCAGTTCAAGGAGAAGTTTGGTATGAGTTGTGGTGGGGAGAAGGGGAGCGGGACCTGGGTAATCTATGCACAATTTCCACTTTGTCTCCTGTAAAAATCAGACCCCAAAGGATGTTAGGGCTGGAAGCTATTTTAGGGATCATTTGGTACAGTCTCTTATTTGAGAAATGGGGAAACTGAGGCCCAGGGACAGAGAATAACTTGGGTGTTCATGACAAGTTCTACTGTTATCCTAAACTTTCCCATGTCACCACCTTCATGCAGCATAGTTCTAACATTCCAGATCCAAGGAGTAACTTGGGAAAGACAAGGGATTCTGAAATTCCTGCTCAAGATGGTCTATCCTCCTCCTCATCCCCTAGGATCCTATCATTCTTTGGAAACTCCTGTGTCCTATGAATAGTAGGTTTACATAAAAGCAAATAAAACCTCTGGCCAATTTGGTCAAAACCTCAGCCAACCTAATTTGATGTCCTGTACAGAAATCACTTAGACAATCACTATCTCTCAGATTCCTGCAGCTTTGAAGAGATTTATTTTTAAAGCAGACCCCCATTCTCTTAAAATTGGCTCATCGTCTAAATACATTCCATATTGGACCTCCTCTTTTTCTCTGAGTCTCTCATAGTCTGAAATAGCCGGAGTGGAAGATGCTATAAGTGTAGAAGGGAAGGAGATGGACACACAAAAGAGAAGGGAAATACCCCCCCCCCATTGTGAACACCCACCAAAGACACTTTTGGAGAAGTCAGAAAGCACCTCCCAGCAGAAGCTGAAGTCAAGAGGTCAGGATGCAGTAAAGAAGGGAGCACTGATCTGCCCTTCACCCTTGCGCCCCACACTTTCCCCAGCCTTCCACCTATCCCATGGTCATTTCCCCCCTCACCCAGGTCAGCTTCTTTTGTGATTAGCTCACAACCAACCCACAATCATTTTACATTTCAGAAGAACTTCTCAACCAACTGCAGAAAGAAATCTAATTAGATGAGAAAAGTAATTCACATTAAGGTGTGGATGACTAATTTTCTTATCTGTCCTAATGGACATTTGCATTTTTAAATGTTTGCCAAAAAGAAATCTCCTATTCGTGGAGGGGGGGGGCAAATCTTTTTTATAGAAAAGGCTTTGGAAATGAAAGTTCTCTCTGGCTCTCATTGTCTAGTTCAGAAAGCCATTTCCTTTTCTTTGTCCCACCCCCACTCCTTCCCCCCAAAGCTGAGCCAGCTCTGGGCTCCCTTCTTGAATGATTGCCAGGCACAACCTGAGTGTCTTCAGAGCAGCCATTAGGTGGCGCTGGCAGCCAGTCAGCTGGCTGAAGGGGCAACCAGGAGAACATTTGATCAACCTGATGTCCAGTATTTTTTTTTAAGATTTTATTTATTTATTCATGAGAGACACAGAGAGAAAGGCAGAGACATAAGCAGAGGGAGAAGCAGACTCCCCGCAGGGACTCGATCCTTGGACCCAGGATCACACCTTGAGCCGAAGGCAGATGCTCCACCACTGAGCCACCCAGGTGCCCCTTGATGTCTGAGTCTTGACCAGGGGTAAGCTGCCCCCACTGTAGCATTTTGATGCTCCAGTTCAAAATTGGAGCCCAAACTTGGTGGGCAAAGGAATTTAGATTAAAGCTCTGATGGGGTGCCTGGGTGGTTCAGTCTGTTAAGCATCTGGCTCAGGTCATAATCTCAAGGTTCTGAGCAGGGATCCTGTTTCTTCCTCTGCCTCTCTCTGCCACTCCCCCTGCTTGTGCTCTGTTTGTGTGTGTGTGTCAAATAAATAAAATCTTAATAAAAAAAAAGCTCTGAGATTATACAAACATCTGGGTCAGAAAAATGTGAGATTTACAAGAGAGGCAGAAAAATGGTCGTTACATATCACCGTGGGCAAGTGTAAAATAACATTAGTAGAGAAAAAGTAAAATCATACAGATCTGCCAGTCACTTCAATTATACTTCAATTCTCCTCAAGGCTGGCCATTCTGGGATGATTTCCATTTTCTTAAAACCTACCTCATGATTTCAGGCCTTCCTGAGAAGCCCCAGAGAGCATTTCTCCTCTCTCTACTGCACTGGCTGTGTCATACAACATAATAACATTCACGCTGCCCTCCCTCTCAGAGTTCCATTCTACTGCTAAAAAGTCAGTTTCCTGAAAGCAGCTTGATTTCTTTTTGCTTATGTGTATTTTCTATTTTTCTATAATGAACAAATATTATCTTGTGTCATTTTTTTTTACAAGCAATAAAGTAACGAAGAAATGTCAGATGTCATGCTTTTGTAGGTAGGGATAGTGTTATATACAATTTAATAATTGAAAGCCTTGGGAAAATAAATAGAAATTTATGATTTACTAATCTTGACATTAACTTTAAACAGAACTACTTTTATGAGAACTTCATATGTGTAGGCAAATTCTCTTTGAGCTAAACAAAATATTGTTTATCAGTCTAAAACTGCACACTGGTCATGCCCTTCTGTAAAGATTAGAGGAGCAGAGGTGCAGAGTTTTCTCCTTTCACCATGATACACGTGCATCAAGTCCTAAAACAAAAGTGCCAAAGGAATATTAAGTCATTAAATAAGGTTTAATCTGTGCATATGTTCACAAGTGACAAAATAAATGCACTTGTGCTTTCCTTGGCTTCTTCCAGCCGTCTGTGAGAACCACCACCTTTCCCTTTATACACGAAAAATTGGGGGGATCCAAATGCCCTGCAGACTCTTCCTCCTTCATTGGAAATCTCCATCAACTAAGCCTCCAACAGCTCAAAGGGTTGTTTCCACCCTGCAGTCTAGGGTCTTCAGGATAGAGGTCCACTCTGCGGTCCCATTGAGGGCACCCAGAGGGTGTTCAGAACCTTGGACAGTTCCCACACGGGGCCACCTCTTTTTAACCCCAGCTGGGTCTTAGAGACCCGCCTCTGCATCCAGACACCTCAGGTGCCCTAAAGTGGGCAGAGAAAGGAGGATTCAGGGGTCTGAATCCAAAGAAGTCTGGAATGCAGGGATTTTATTGTAACTTCTAGCCCTTGTTCTCTTGCTCTCATTTCCAACGTTAATTTGCTCTACAGCATATGGTATCTTTTAAGAAAAGAAAATCGAGAGGAAGAGGAACCAAAAGACGGGGCTTTACCGAGATCTCCCCCCAGAAGGCGGTAGGAGTCTCAGGGGTCTTAGCAGCCCGACTCCCCGGGAAAGACACGGCCGCCGGCTCCTGGAAGGGACCGCTTTCAGCGTCGCAGCCGCTCGCCCACCACCCCGAGGCTTCCCGCGCCGCGCTCAGGACAGAAAGTTTTCAAGGAACTCAGGACCGCAGCAGCCAAAGGCGCCTCGAGTCAGCGATCGGAGCCGGGCGAGATCATCCCGAGGCCCAGGGGCAGGGGGTTTCGGGGTAAGAGCGAGGTTCGGCGCCGCTGCGCCCTTACCTGTTGCAGAGACGCTGCGCTCTGGGCGACTCCCGCTGCGCTGGGCGAGGATGCTCGGCGGCCTCGTCAGGTCACTTTTCTTCCTTTCTCCTCCGCCGCCGCCTGGTCCCAGTCGCTCTCCTCGGTCCTTATATACCTGCGGGGCTCGCCCGGGTGGGCAACGGGCGTGAACTTCCTGGCAGCGTAACAAGCAACTCCCCCGACCGTGAGAAGGGGGGTCATGGGGCTCAGGAGGGAGGTTTACAGGTAAGGGCTAGCGAAAGGGCAGAAGTGCCCGGAAAGGGGGCCGGGTCTCTACCCCGCAGGCTGGAATTAACACTGCCCTGCTGAAGGGTGCACCTGGCAGCTATCAGGAGAGAACTTAATTAAGGATGGTGTTGGGTCTCCAGTTAGGACGAGCAGGTGGCTTAGCACCCCGGTGTGGGGTAGGCCTGGAGCTCTGGCTGAGGTCTTTGAGGAGAGGGTGAAGTTACTTGTGTGCGTGCTTGGTCTGGCATCAGCCTCATTCACACTTGGAGGTAAATATTCCGCAAAGGGGAGTGTGTCTGTAATGCCTCAGATTTCCCCATCCTTTGGAAACTGTGGTGAAGATGTCATGGGGAATCACAACCCCTCTGCCTCAGGTTAGCAGAGTAGGTTGGTGGGAACCAGGGAGGTAGGGAGGGGAGCAGAAAAGGTCAGGGGGCACTCACCTGAGGCCCAGGGAAGGTTGCCTTCTTGGAGGTGTGAAGGCAAGTTGCACTGCCAAGCCTGGGGCCTAGGCCAGAGCAGGCTCCTTCCTGTGCTCCAGACCCCAAGGAAAAGGTGCTGTTAACCTTCTACTACTAATGGGGAGGGGAATGGGGTACTCTATGGAGAACAGCTGAAGTACTTTCCCTGTGGTCTACCTTAACCTGGAGTAAAGAAGAAACAAATTGTGAGAGGCGGGGGTGGGAGGGAGTGTTAGAACAAAACTGAACTTCAGATCAAGGTGCTTGTTTTATTTATTTGTTTGCTTGTTTATGTGCTCATTTTAGTCTGCCAATTGCAGCTTTCTTTATTCCCAGTCAGATGTTCTTTGGATTCCAACACTCCTGTGAGAATTCTTGGTTGGTGACATTGGCTTTATAGTCCACAATCCTTTCCTTTTGGGATACAGGAGAAATCTAAGCTCCTAAACAGTAAACAAGATTGTTTATCACTTGACCTTGCCCTGAGTCTCAAGGGTCACCTCCCACCTGTCCATCTTACATCCTGGCACTTCAACCATCCACAACATTCCTTTTTTTTTTTTTAAGTTCTATTTATTTTATTTATTCATGAGAGACACAGAGAGAGCAGCAGAGACACAGGCAGAGGGAGAAGCAAGCTCCCTGCAGGGAGCCCGATGCAGGACTCCATCCCAGGACCCCAGGATTATGACCTGAGCCAAAGGCAGACGCT